ATAAGCAATCAAGAGACTATGAAAAACCCTGACATGTCATGTAAAAGTGTATACTTTATATTGCACACTATGGCAAGTACCATAGGCATAGGAGTAAAATGATGATGTTTAGACTGAAGTCAAGAGACTTTCACGAGGGGAAATGGAAAGTGTTTGATGGCTGATAGCAGATAAAGGGTAGGGAGAAGGAGATAGTAGAGAGTCTAGGATGACTGGATTCCTGGTTGAATGGTTGTACCATGTATATGAATAAAGGAATATATAAGAAGGAACAGGTTTGGGGTACCTAAAAGACACACACAGAGAAGATTTTTAATAAATAGTTAGCATGTTGGTCTATATGGATTAGGAGCTAAGAACTTAAGGCAAATCACTGAATCTTCCTGAGACCTCATTTCTCTCTCTACAAAATTAAAATAATATGTACACTTTCTACTTGACAGTTTATTGCTAGAAAATATGAAATAAGGGATATAAAAAGTTTTTAAACAAGAAATTCCTTTTAAAATGTAGGAAACTATAAAGATCACATTCAACTCCTGACCAACCATCTGCTACTCCTCAAACTCTCTGTGCCATCCAGATCAACATTTGTCCTGTCTCCCATCACACTATGCTCATTCCCAATTTCAAAACCTCATTCATGCTGTTCCTAATTGTAATGTCCTTCCCTCTCCCCAGTCTTTCACCTACTGATCCTCTGAGTGTCAGTTCTTCTCGCTTTTTTTTTTTTTTTTTTTGATCTTTGGAGATAACATTAACTCCCCATCTAAGCACTTATTATCTGTCCATGTGTTTGGTGGGAGAGTCCCTTCTAATTTGACTTTCCATTTTTAATTAATTTAACAGATAATACATTCATACTGTTTAAAATTCAAAAGCTATAAAAGAGTTTATAATTAAAGTCTCTTTTTATTTTTTAATTTTTTAAAAGATTTTATTTATTCATGAGAGAGAGAGAGAGACAGAGACAGAGAGAGATAAAGACAGAAACAGGTTCTCTGAGGGGAGTCTGATGCGGGACTGGATCCCCAGGACCCCGGGATCATGACCTGAGCCAAACAAAGGCAGACGCTCAACCACTGAGCTATCCAGGTGACCCCAAAAAAAGTCTCTTTTTTAAAAAAGATTTTACTTATTTATTTGAGAGGAGTGCCTAATGGGGGGTGGTAGGGTGCAGATGGAAAAGGAGAAACAGACTTTGCTGCGCAGGGAGCCTGATGTGGAGTTCCATCCAGGACCCTGAGATCATGACTTGAACTGAAGGCAGACAACCAACTGACTGAGCCACCAATGAACTAAAAAGTCTCTTATGCTTATTCCTCAAGTACCTAGTTTTCTTCTCCCATAGGCAATTAATATCATCAGTTTTCTGTGATCCCTTCCCAGATGAGCAAATTAAATCACTGGCTTTCAAATTATGCTGTGGCAGCTCAAATGACAATAGAGGCTGCAGAGAAAATCCAAGTAGTTGAGTTTCTTCAACTTACAAAACAGCTGCAATGCTTACACCTGTTTCATACATAGGGCTAAAAACTTTGCTAAAATTTTAGTGAAGGAAGAGTTCTGCTACTCAACTTTTAAAATTGCTAACTTATATCACTCATTTTATAACTTAATCATGTACTATATGGCATTATTATTATTCTACAGAGCTGTCAGGCCAAAAAATTATGCAGAATAAATTTGGGAAATGATGATTTAAACATAGTTACTACAGACTATGTGTGCGACAGTGTGTACTACTGTGTGTGACAGGATAATTAATGTAGACTTAAAAATATCTTTAACTCATGTCCCACCCTTTAATCCAAGAAAGTAGTAGGTCCTTTCATGTGTTCTTGCTTCAAATGGCTTACATGTGACTGTTCACCCCTACTAGGCTTTGTTTTTCTAAAACCTGAGCTTGAAGAAATTATCTTGAAATGGAAGAAGAAAAGTTAAGAGGGGAGCTGTGGGCAGAAAAAGAGAAATAAAGTAGCAAAGATTCCACATGTTTGGGGAAGAGCTGGGCATTAGCATTTTAAAATAAGGAAATACCACATTTGGCATTCCTATTGCTTCCAAGAGGTGGCTAAACTTGGAATAAACTTGGTGGCAGCTGTGGAGGAAACAGGAGTCAAAGCATTAGGGATATCGGGATATTGACTCTAACAAAAATTCCCTTTACGTGGCCCACTAGCCACAGAGTTCTCAAAGGATGGACCTTGAGAGATCAAATACATGGGCTAGGACAGTGGACCTTCTCTGAATGAAGGCTCCACAAAGATGGGGATCTCTGGTATGTCAGCACTACTTAAGCTGAATTCATAGACCTCTGTATAACCCAAAGGAGGGAAATCTTCTGAACTGAACTTCAACTGCCTACCAGCTCAGGAAATAAGAGTTTTGGAACCATATCAAACTGAGTTTGAACTTTTCTTCACATATCACTAACAGTATAACCTTGGGGAAGTAACCACAGCTGACACTAAAATTCTTCATCTATAAAATGATGAAAATATTCAAGGACTGGTTTGAGACTTTAGTTGGTATATACATTAAATATGTAAAATGTTGGGACGACTGGTGGCTCAGTGGTTGAGCCTTTGACTAAGGGCATGATCCTGGGTCCTGCGATTGAGCCTCCCATCAGGATCCCCGCAGGCAGCCTGCTTCTCCCTCTGCCTATGTCTCTGTCTCTCTCTTTCTGTGTCTCTCATGAATAAATAAAACCTTTCAAAAAATATGTAAAATGTTTACTACAATATTTTAATCATAATAGTCAATCAGTAACAGCTATTTTAATTTCATTCAATAATTACTTATTAAGGTCCAATTATGTTGAGATCCTTATGTGAGATCCTGTGTACCTAATAGCAAAAACTTAAAAACTGTCAAGAACCTATCTAAATAAGGAAAATCTCCATCTTTTTCCCCCATAATTCCAAAAATAATCAGACCCAAAATTGGAGAATAACTTAGTGATTATGATGAGTGACATTCTTTTTGATCAAATTTAGTTAGAATACCAAAGTAACAAATTTCCTAGAATGGATCATTATATAAATTTTTAAGAACATTTTTTCCAGTAACTTCAGCATCATTAGAGTAAATATAGATTCCCAACTTGAATACTTTGACAATAATCACTGAAATGTTTATACTCTCTCAATTTGATCAAAAAGAAGTCTCAATCATTCATAACCTTTTGACTAGTGGCTTGAGAGTAGAAATTACAGCAATGGAGGTTAAGACAGTAATACTCATGAAATGTCACATGCATACACACACTTTATTGTCTTGTCTATACAGTGATATAGATCCCCAACCACGAACGGATAATGGGGCCAAAGATAACTCGGTACTCCATAAAACAAAACAAAACAAAACAAAACAACTTAATTTTTTTGATCATTCCATTTAAGTAATTTGTTTCTATTGAAAGTTGGTTTGAAGGAGCTTCTGCTGGCCAAATTAATTTGAACACCAAACCAATTAGTGATACTAGTTTATTATTGAATAAAACAGGAATCCATGAGTTCATACTGATGTAAATAATTTTTAAAAATAGGACAAAAAAAGCTTTTTATTATACTAATATGCTAACAAGTAAATGTAGAAGAAATGACAGAGTTAGAAAATTGCTATTTGACAAATACAATAGATTCTGGCCAAAGCCATCATTGAATGCTAAACCTACTATAACAAAACTTGATGAGAAAGATTTATCTTCTTGTATATACATATATATACATATATTCATATATACATACATATATACAGTCTTGAAATAATCCCCTCATGGGGTACCTGAAGGTTCAGTTGGCTAGGCATCTGACTCTTGGTTTTGGCTCAGGTCATGATCTCAGGGTCATGAAACTGAGCCCCATGTCAGGCTTCGGGCTCAATGCAGAGTCTATTAGAGATTCTCTCTCTCTTCTTCCCCCCACTCATGTTCTCTCTCTCTAATGAGTAAATAAATAAAATCTTGAAAAAAGTATCCCTCATAAGATAAAATAAATCTGCAGTGAGAGTGACACCATTTTAAATTATCCAAGTTAACACCCGCTGTCATGGGACAAACTGACATCATGTTCCTAAATGATGTATCAAGATGTATTTCTGAAAAAAATGCATAACCTCAATCTAACAATAAAGAAACATAATTAAACCAAAATTAAGAAATAATTCAAAAAATATTTTACACCATTCAAAAATATCAAGGTCATTAAAAGTAAACACAGACTAAGCATATTTAAGGTGACTAAAGAAACACAACAATTAAGTACAATGTAAAATCGGGGTGTGTACCTTGGAAAAGATGTTTTTATAATAAATGACAGTATTGGGACAATGTGAATAGAAATGTGAATAGAGTCTACAGATTATAGTATTAAACGGAAACTATTTAACTGATACTGATCATTTTAATATGGTTATGGTAGAAACCACCCACTGAAAACTTAGAGGTAAAGAGCATCACTTCTGCAACCTTATCTTAAATGATTGTAAATAACGATATATGAGGAAGAACAAAAACAAAATATACCAAGAAAGAAAGAGAGAAAATGATAAAGCAAATTTCTTCACTCAAGTGAAAAATATATGGGAATTCTTTGTACAATATTTTACCACTTTTCTGTGCATCTGAAATTATTTCAAAATTTAAATATTACTTTTTAAGTAGCCTGAAATGTCAATGATGTAAGAGATTAGTGTTCTAGACAGGAAATCCATGCTAACAACTAATGAGATTAATGAGAAGCACTTTAAAGTTATTGCAGACATGACAGTGGGCTTACTTAGCTACTTGAATTAAAAGAATAAACTTCCCTTTTGGTGGATTTTAAAAACATATATGTCAAGTGACATATATTAATTAGGAACATACAGTATTAGTATAAGAAAGTATATGAACTTGAGAGAATCATGTTATGCAGAGACATGTAAATACAACTTTAGGAAGTTATAGCATATTGTATAATTCAAATGCTAGCATACTTAAGTTTTATATTTACCTTCACAACTACTTGATACTGTTGTCTGCCTAAGTAACTTCTCCACCATTTTTGAATAGTAGTTGCTACTCTGTGTAAATGCCTGGGTGAAAAAAAAATTTATTAGTATGCTTTCTTTGAACCAGATTATTGCTTAAGTTTCTTCTTAGACTGTATCTTTCTACAATACAAAAACTCAAAATCAAATCCAAATTTTTATACACTTTTAAAGGGCAGAGCTATCATTCTACAATAGAATTAATCATTTCTAGAAGTAGCAAAAGGGGCAGAGATACTCAGTGTTCATTTGGGGCTTATGACTAAACATCTTTACATTTCAAATACTCTTCAATACTAATTCTTGGAAATAGCTCTGAATGTTAAGATTATAAAACAAGTCAAAGGAACACACTGAGAAATAAGCCAGGCACTACTGAGGTGAATCACTGTAAGTACTTAGAAATACTTCTTGAGGTCAGGAAACACTGCCTTTTCCACTTATATTTCCCAGTCTATCCAAGCTAATGACATGTTAATCTGCTAAATTAAAAAAATATATATATGCTCTCTTTGCCACCATGTTCCTCATTTGTATAGGGGCCAACAGAGAAATCACATCTTTGCACTTGCATCTGGAAGTCCTACGACCTAACAGAAGGAACTATAGAGTATAATCCCCATTTCACCATCTGAATGATTATGTACTAGGCATTTTCTTCCTCTTCCTTATCCAGCACAATGCTCAGAATTGTGAGAGACTGAAGGAAAATTTAAGCACTGAAGAAAAAGCAAGAACAATTAAGATAAAGAGATCAGTTTTAGTCCCTTGATAACCAAGATGGCAGCACCCTGGTATCATCTACTCTATCAACATGTTGTAGAAGGTTGCAATAACTTCCTTTTTGTTTTGTTTTGTTTTTTCCTTTCTTATCAGTCAGTGAATTCACCACTAAACATAAAGTCTAGTCACTTGTCACAACCTATGGAATTTGAAAAAAAGAATCTCATCAAGTGTATTTATGATATTGAGTATTTTTTTAAACTTGGAGATATGGTTGATATAATTTAGTTTTTTGATATGTAAGTAAAGACCAAAATAGTTATTTCTTTAAAAAGGACATCATATAATTTATTAACTTCATTATAAGTAAAATAAAAGATTATTTGCAATGAGCACCTACACAAATAAATTACATTTTCTAAGGAGTATATTTTTATGATATATCTGACGCTTCCATGACAAAATCATATACCTGATATATGCCCGAACTTGACATCCTCGAAACCAGCTCTGGATCTTAACTGCTGCATCATACTCCTTTTTCCTAAATAAATCTACAACACTAAAAAGAAAATTTTTAAAGCATTTCATTAGTTGACTAATGTAATTCTAAAGCAAATCAACCTGTTAAACTTAACCTTTAATTTCTTCCAAAATGATAATATATTTCAAATGTCATTTTAAATAAAATTAAAATAGTAAATAAAGCATTTCAGAAATCATAAGGTATATTCTTAAAATTAACCTTTCTCTGAGAGGTCATGTACTTTCAACAGCTTATTTTTTTTTTTATTTTTATAATCACCTATTTTGAAACTAATTAATTTACCAGTGATTTTTGTAAGAAAATAATGTGTATTTTTTCATTACTTTAAAAATGTGATTACTTGAATTTCCTATTTGAATGACACTACACATATCATGCAAGATTAAAATGCTTGCATATTTCCCTCAATGCATCAGTTAAATGAACTGCCTCTAAATAAAATGAATCCATCACAGAATGCCTATTTTAGATAGAATTCTCAGAATTTAAGTTAAAGCAGGGGCAGGGCCAAAGGGCTTAAAAAAAGGCAAGAAGTTCAGTTGTTAGATTTTTACTGACAGCAAAAAAAAAAAAAAAAAGGTTTAGTCAAGACAGATCTCTATCTTAATTTTACCAGTCATTACAACTCTCCCTCTCCATCCCTAGTAGATACAGTGATACTGTTTAAGGCATACTGTGCACCACAAAGTAATTTCTTTCTTAGAATGCTGGCTGGCACCTAATTAGCATTTTATGGTTGCTGAATGAATAAAGAGTGGCTAGTCATTTATTTCTTCATTTTTTTTTAATTCCTCAAAATAGTGTTTCCTTGAACAGGTTATTTTTTCATTGTCATATGCTAGATTAAACATATCGATTTCATTACACTCATATTTAGAACAAAAACAGAAGGGGGGAAAAAACCTTCCAACAATAAAATTCTTAGACAATACTATGGAGTTGGCTAAGAGAAAGAAAATAAGATGAGCAGTTAAGCTGTTGATGGCAAATAGCTGAGAAACAAGTGGATGGTTTATAGTTCTAAATAAGCAAGAAAGAAAGTTACCTAGAAAGCCTGACTCTAAAGGACTTGCAAAAGCAAAAAGAAAAACAAAAATCATGCATCAGTCAGTGACCAGATGTGAAAAAGAATAGTGGAGAGAATTCACACAAATCAGTAAGGTTAAGAGGACACTCAAGACAATCAGGAATAAAACAAAAGTTCAATTATCATTGTATATTTGGGGATCCCTGGGTGGCGCAGCGGTTTGGCGCCTGCCTTTGGCTCAGGGCACGATCCTGGAGACCCGGGATCGAATCCCACGTCGGGCTCCCGGTGCATGGAGCCTGCTTCTCTCTCTGCCTGTGTCTCTGCCTCTCTCTCTCTTCTCTGTGACTATCATAAATAAATAAATTTTAAAAAATCATTGTATATTTGTACTACATGTACAGAATTATAGCAGATAGCAGAGACATATATAAACTGTATTCTCAGTTCCAATGATTGTGCTCCACATGGTAGAAAGAACAGCTTGAAGTCCTTCACCCTGAGACTCCCCTGATGCCCCAGACCACTTTAGGCCTTTCCATTGTATAACCTCATAGCTCTTCACAATATTTAACAAAGTCCTGCAAAATGATTGTTTGATGACGTCTTTCTTTCTTTCTTTTTTTAAGATTTTTATTTATTTGAGACACACAGAAAGAGAGAGACAGAGACAGAGACACAGGCAGAAGGAGAAGCAGGCTCCACACAGGGAGTCCTACGAGGGATTCGATCCAAGGTCTCCAGGGTCAGGCCTTGGGCTGAAGGCGGCGCTAAACTGCTGAGCCACCCGGGCTGCCCTAATAATGTCTTTCTACTAAACTTTAAAATCCGCAAATCAGTAATATTATCCATTCTGTCCCACATGCATTCCCAGGGGCTCCAGAAGTAACCCCCCCCCTTTTTTTTTTCTTTTTTAACCATTAACAAAAACTGTTTTTCCTAACAGTTTTTGTCTTACCAAAGCTGCTTTCTCTTGGGGAATGGCATGCATATTACAGACATGTAATCCCTATGAAAACTGCCACTCGCAAGCTTCCCTCACTACACCTACTCACAACGTTAAAATCTTATCCCCATTTGACAGAGGAATATACTAAGGGAGACAGAGGTGTAGGGATATGTCCAAGGTCACATCTTAACAAATGTCACAGCTGAAATTTGATTCTAGATAGTCTGGCTCCGAAAGTTGGATTTTTACCCATCACTGCACCTAAAGGAGAAGACTAGAAAGATTAAAAAGAGGAGATGAAAGGGAAGTAAAAGGAGAAGGGGGAGAAAGAAAGGGGAAAAGGGTAAAAAGAAGAGTGCATGTAAGCCATTTTCAAATATAATATTAAAATCCTGTGGCATAAAAGAGTACTCATCTCCTTAAATAATAAAATCTCCTAAATAAGAAAAGCTGAGACTACGATGTGAAAAGATATCAAAATCAAAAGATAGCAAAAAACAAAAAACAAAAATTTCGGATATACCAGGTATTGGTGAGAATGTAGTGCAATAGAAACTCATAATATTGCTGGTAGGAGATAATTCAGCCTTTAAATACATACAGAAAATTTTCATTGATATAAATGAAAAAATTAACAAGATTTTAGGATTTAAATAAGGAAAGAAAAAAGAAGGCCCAATTATAAAAGATAGTATTTTGCAGTGTGATAGAAGTTAATGGTAAGGTACCAGGAAGAATGGAGTAGTTCCAAATGGTGTAAAGAAGTTATGAAGACAAGGTCAATGTTCCCAGGAGTTGCAGGGTTAGAGGGACTCTTTCATTTTTCTTTTAAAATCTTATCCTAGCCAATAAGAAGATATGATGGTGCAAGATATAAAATGTCATTATGGCAAAAATAGAAAAGATACAGTAACAAAATGTCCAGTACAGCAGGCAATTCACAGATGATAGTGCTTGAAGAAGGAATGAATAATTTTATTTAATAAGGCTGATATGAAGTGAAATCCATAATAATGATATAAAACAGTTTCTTATGGGTATTTAACCCTTTTTTTCCATGAACATATGATCATATATGTTTTCCTTCATTTTCATGTAATCTATTTAAATTACTGAAAACGCTGGTCTTTCCTACCCCATCAACAATCAAGTGACCACCTTTCAAAACAGGGAGAAGGGCACCTGGGTGGATCAATCGGTTAAGCATCTGCCTTGGGCTCAGGTCATGATCCCAGGGACCTGGGATCGAGCCCTGCATTAGGCTCACTGCTCAGTGGGGAGTCTGCTTCTCCCTCTACCCCTCCCCCTGCTCAAACCCTCTCTCTCTCTCTCTCTCTCTAATAAATAAAGTCTCAGAAAAAGGGAGAAAAATATTTGAATAAGATATGCAGATACACCTAATAGTTTTAAACTAATGTATAGCTTGAACCTATACTTTACTTATTATTGTCATTAGAAATGCAGAATAAGCAATCAAATTATCTGTTTTGACTTTGTTTTCTAATCTCTCCTGATAATAACGCTAACATGTAATACAGTCAAAAAGAAGATTAAATGATCTTTTATTGGAGTTATGAACACCAATGTATATAAACACAGATACATCATACTAATAAGAACTACACATCTTAATTAAAGGAAAATATTTTTGGAATAACTAGTAGTTAACTTACTTCTAAGTTTTAATTTATATGCTGTAATTCCACTTCCATACACATTTCTCTGTTGCCCTCTTTTTAACTGCTGAAAAATGAAATTTACAGATACTTGGGTTACCACTGGGATGCTGAATACTCATACAATATGTCATGAACTGCTAGACTTTTTATGTTTAAAATGAAAAATGTGGGTAACACTTTATTTTAATGGTATATTAATTAGTTCCAAATTACAATGAAATCCTATAGCAGTGAATAAAATATGACATCTACATGAATTTGAAATAAATTTATTATGATCAGTATTATCACAATGAATACTAAATGAATTAATAATGATGAAAGACCAAAAGTATTACCAGGAATGTAATAAAACACTGAAAAAAGCTGGAAGTTTCCAGTCACTTCATCATCAACTAGAAATAAGTACTATCACCCTAGATAACACTATAGTCATGTGTATCATTAGTGGCTGGAAATTGTCAATAAATAGAAAATGAAAAAAATGTGTAGTTAAATATCTTTCCAGTAATGTGCAAAAAATACATTTTATACATCAACATACTGTGTTTAGTCTGACCTATGTGTGTACTAGCTATTGAATAAAAAGTAGATCAAAAACCCAATCATCTCTTTCTCATTATCATATAACTTTTAACTACTGTAGATACTAGGAATAAAATTACAATATTAGCTGCCCTGTATTACAAAATATATCAATGTAAAAAATAATTTTTGCATATCACTTCACTATTAGGTCTTAAGGATGTCATGCTTCTTAAAGGCAGAAACTCTGTTTAATCTATACTTTGTGTTTTAATTATCACTCATGTGCCTAATAAGAGGTCAATAACGACTTGTTGAAAAATAGAACTACATTTTCAAATCTAGAAGCCACGTTTTGCTTTCATTAATAGTCCTCATTATTATTATTTCACAGCTCAATGAATAATGAGTTATAAATACATATGTATTAGGTCACAAAGTAGGACTTAACATGCAGATTTACAATGTATTTACAAAATGTTTTATGATTCATTTTTCTGCATCTTCCTTCTACCTTCTCTTCCTTTCCTGAACAATGAAGTCCTAAAGAAATTGGCAGTGGGCAAGGAAACCAGGATCCTGTACTGGAGGGGATGGGGATGTTGGGGGATGGGCAGCCACAGTGGCTCAGCGAAGCCTGTGTAGGCCAAGATGGGATCACACGTAGGGGCGCCCTGGGGTAGGTTGTCACAACCTAAGGACAGTGTTCCCATGAAGAGAAGGCCTAACTCTGCGTGTCAAGGAAAGGTGAGGAAAGGTTCCACAAGGACGGGCAGCAAAACAGGGAATAAGAACCCACAAATGATGGAAAGAGTATCCAAGTTGGTGAACAGGT